CCCACACAGTGTATTTATGAGTCTCTTATGATTTTCAAAGTGAACAACAATTATTTCCTCACATGTCTACAATTACGACAAACGGTTGAACTATGTAAGGGAGAGGTGTTGAGTTTTCTTCGCGGTACGGACTAAATTCTTAAATACTTAAATAAGCTTCGGCTTCAAAGGTCCAGTGACTTCCAACGACATGCTTTTCGCAACGAATTGTGTGAATAATTGCACAAGTAGTGCCTAAGGAAAACCTGGCGACGTGGTTTGAACACTCAGACTAACAAGCTGCATGTTTGCTCTGCAAATTGGCTCATTGTGTCCACAATTAGAGATGATTAGAGCCTGCCCTGCCAAACGAGAGACTGGCTTGCACTGCGAGATGCTAATCTGCCTTCACACTTCCCGTATAATTAAATAACGCTCGCTTATAATACAGAGCAATTCGTCACGATGGCTGCTTTTGGCGGGGGAAAGCGTTCCCAGGGTGCAGAGCCGCTCAGGAATCGAGTGGCGGTCATTCAATCAGTAGACAATCAATTGTTTGTTCAGAATTTCCCCACTAGAATACTGCATGTAGCTGTTGTCTTCAATGACACTTTATTATATTTATATCATTATCCGTATTACACTAACAACGCTTCCCAAGACGTCAGTCTTTACTGCACTGGAATCAGGGGTCGAACCTCGCTAGAGGCATGGATAGATATTCTGCTTTTTCAATGCTGTCTTGTTCTTGAAGACCTAATTAATGGTAGCGGAATTGAAATGGCCTGACCTCGCACCCCGTTCAATAAATCATAAAAAAATTCTGAAAGGATTCGGTATTTCAGAAGTAATTATGAATTCAGACAGACCACAAAGCCTCATCACTAAAAAACCTAATTATGATAAATAAATAGACACTGTAGTTATTATAATTATTATTATCTCCCCGAAATCTGAACCCGAAGCTTCATCACCACAAAATCAAAGCCCACCATTTCATTTAGGCTGTTTAAAATCCGTACCACTAGTACAAATAAAAGTTTTCAAAGCAAACACTTCGTAAAACGTAACAAAACTTCAGTAACAGTAAATACTTTACCAAGGCCTACTTTTAACAAGCAAATTAGTTTACGTTTCACACCTCACAGCCGTCGAAGAATGTCATTATCCAATGTTATTACGTATTCCACCTGCTTTCTCGCTTTCCAAGAGGTTTCAGAACGAAAATTGACATCTACTGTTTTGATGTCTGCCTTATTGTAGATTTCTTTACTTCACTCCGTTAACAATGCTAGGCGACCTGTAAGAATAACGAAGTTCCTACTTATTCGATGTCCTAATGTGTCCTCTGACTACCCTTCTTAGGTACAAATATTTTCCTAAGCATTTTCTTTTGAAACACGTGTCATTTAAGCTCATCCGTCAGAGCAATTGACTACGTTTTTCTACTGTGTAGACCCACAAGGAAAAATATTCGTTTGTTTGCGTAACGCTATCCCGATATTCAGCATTTTTAAAAGTGGCGGATTGATAAGAGTTTCAACAGAACAGTAGACCTATCAGGCAGTCAACAAAGTTCTTCATTTTTACCACATCGACAAAGCGAAGTTTCAAACAGCTTCTCCAGCTTGGTAGGATTTGATATTGTCAGGGCGGTAAGAGCAGGGTTGTAGAGCAGTGTATCAGTGGCGATCGCCCTGATGATGGATGTAGAAAGGACATTCGAAACGTAGGTAATCTTCTACCAAACTACACGGCCCTACAACCCAGAAGATAGCACTGAAAAGAAAATTTGTGGACTATTAGTAGGAAACAAATGGTTTCAGCACGTCTACCATAAGCATGTAAGGTTTAAAAATCATAAGAAACTCTGCGATCAAAATTAAGAGTTACTGATTACGAAATCAGGTGGTACATATAGTTACCGTTGGATTTCAAACGGTTAAAATTTATCTATTTATTTTTGTGTAACGTTTTCACCCGTTTCCAAATTAAATTAAACTTTCCATTTTGCAAATGGTCACCAGTTATTACGAAACAAGAGAATTGAAAACGTCGAAACGCGTAGTTGTTACACGGACAACTGCCGCTCACAATGCGCTCCTTAATTTCATTGCGGATTGTCTGGTAAATGCGATGCCTCACACACGCTTGAACAGCTTAATTACTCGCACGGAGTAATCGATACAGCGCAAGCTTTCGCACGTTCCCTTAATAGGCAGGCTACAGTGACTAATGCAATATGACTGTTGCTACAAGAACAATAATCTAGTTGGCACAACATCTTCAAAATAAAAAGTTATAAAAATATTTTTTTTTTAAATCTAACTAATTATTATTAATCGAGCACGACGTCATGATCGCGTATGGGCTAGTGGTGGTTAAGCTCTACTCTTTCCAGATGGGCTATGAGATATCACTAATCGTCTATTATCTGAGATTCCTTCAAACCTACTATTGAAGAGTTCATTCAACTCCATATTAGCTATTAATAACGCAATTAAATAACCTGTGCATATAAACAAACAAATAAACAAAACATGCAGACAGATACGATCCCCGTATTAAGCTTTCATTTTGTAAGCTTTGTAAAATAAATAATAGAATAGGTCTGTATATTGAATAAAATTTTTCTTGGATATTATCCATCGTCTAGTAAATATAAAACGTAAAATATCCAAGAAAAATTTTATTCAATTGACTCTTCACCATCGTCAAGAAGTTTTAGATTTGAGGTCTGTATATGCTCGTGACTCCGGAAAACGTCGAACGTAAATCAAACTTGACTGAATTATTATAGGCAAATTAAACATAGAGAGGTATTCTAATGCACGCAGTGACTAAACGGAACGCAAAGACATGCCGAGACCTACTCCACGATTACCCCTGACTATGGCATCTCCGTTTCTACTTTCCAAACCCGTGAGGCTTGAGACGTGTGACATCATCTGTTACACCGAAATGAAAGTGCTCTCAGAATGCTTCCGAGACGAGAATCTGCTCTACTGGTGGTTGACACTCCGACAGTAGGCTAGCTGCTCAATATCGATCTTACAATCAGTCTATTGGTCCTAGACAAAAGGCAAGTGTCTTCGTGTTTGCTTGAGCTAGCACCACGGCTGACATAAAGAGTTCTCGAGTGCTGCCACCATTAGGCAGCGACTAGAAATACCCCTAATAAGTATGAGTTACAAAAATATTGAAATAATGCGAGTTGAAAGGTCAGGACAGCATTTAAAGTAGTCAACATCATGACTTGTTATTAAATGACTTCTTTATATTTCACAAACCAAACTATGATGGCTTACGACCTGAAGATGTAATCTGTATTAAGCCTACATAAAACACCTGATGATGGTTTTATAAAAACCGAAACATGTTGTGTAAATGTTCCGAAATGTAAATCGATCAATCGATATGGAACATGAATGATATTTTATTATCTTAATTATAAGAAATTTTAAATAAAAATTATATTGTGATCAGACGGATTAAAACAAATAATTGATATAATATTCACAATATGACGCAATTACACTATCTTATAAAACACAAGGACAAATCACTTAATCCAGTGCCATATTCGTGCTAATGAGATAGTCGAAACAAGCATGTATTTGCATAACAGAGTATGTGCACTCCAAAATCAATTGCCCTTTCAAACTTTGCAGCTTAAAAAACCTAATTCGCGTACAGTTCCATTGACCGTAATCCTTGAAATGCTGACAGTAGCCCAGTGGTCCACACATGAGCTAACCCATCCTTAGCGCGTTTCCCTAAGACATCTCCCGAGCCATGGCAGTCAAGAAATAGTCCAGAAGATGCTGGTACAAGAACCATCTTGTAAACGGCAGCCTCAGCTCCGGTTTCCATCCAGCAGTAACACCGCGGTGTCGCTGCACAGATTTCCCCGAGATTGCGCGCGGTGGGAGGGGCATCTTAACGTCCCTGCATTCTTAAATGGTTAGGCGAATCGGTGACGTCATACAAATCAATTAGACACGCCCCACCGCTCGCGACCGGCGATTGGTCGGCCGAGGCCCGTGCAGCGCGATTGGTCACTTCCGCCGGAGTATGGGCCGGGCTCGCAAGATGGCCGCCAGAGGCGCGGCAGTCGCGCGTGGGTCACGTTCAGTCGCTGTGTGAAGCGAGGTGAGTGCGGGTCGCAAGAACTCGGTGTCGGTCTGTCCAACTGCAAGTGGTGATCCAAGCAACGGCGGACGAGTCGTGGTGATGCGCGAGTGACGTGTGTCGGATGGTGATCGTGCTGGAGCCCAGCACGGGACGGGGTGGTGCGGGGGGAATGACGGTCGATGACATGACGATCACCAGCGGCAAACAGGACACCTCCCCCCTGGACCATGTTATGCATCATCACCACCAGACCACGAGGTCTCGATTCATGATAACGGACATCCTGTCGAGCGGGCCGCGCTCCCCTTGTAGCTCGCCGGCCTCCAGCAGCGAGGGCCCGCGAGACCTGTCCCTGCACTGCCGCGGCGAGGA